AGCAGCGGTTCTCAACCTGTGGGTCGCGACCATCGGAAAACACATATAGCATATCAGATATTTACATGACGATTCATAACAGTAGCAACATTACAGTGATGAAGTAGCAACGAAAATAATTTTATGGTTGGGGGTCACCACAACATGAGGAACTGTATTGAAGGGTCGCGGCATTAGGAAGGTTGAGAACCGCTGCTTTAGAGTGATTGGGCAGCTTACAAACACCGATGCGAAGCTAGAAGCACCTTCCTGGCGCAGGGCAGGTGATCAAACAACAGGCCTTCGCAGCCCCAACCCCCGCCCGCCCCTGAGGACAGGGGACAGCTCTACAGGTGTGCTTCCACTGTCCCCCTCACACCGCCCCAGGCCTCCCTGGCCACACCCAGTGTTGGGAGGAGAAGGCGCTGTGGGAAGACCTCACAACATTGTCTCTTGTCTACTTCCCCGATGATTTGGGCACAGGCAGTGACTTCCCTTCCCCAGGCCCATCCCTGCCCATCACACGTGCTCAGTGCAGTCGGCAGCTTCTGATCTAACCAAGCTCTTCGATCGCCTGGGTTTAAAATGAGGTGTTATCACAAAATAGAGACAGCACGGGAGAAAGAGAGAGGAGGAGGAGGAGGAGGAGGAAGAGGAAGAAGAGGAGGAGAATGTATTTTCTAGCCACTTTAGACAGGGTGTTCCCAAAAAATGTATACACACTTTAACAGCTGATAGCTCAATTTAAAAAAAAAAAAAATATATATATATATATATATTATTGATTTCAGAGAGGAAGGGAGAGGGAGAGAGAGAGAAAGGTCAATGATGAGAGAGACTCATTGATCCCCTGCCTCCTACATGCCTCACATTGGGGATCGAGCCCACAACCCGGGTATATGCCCTGATCAGGAATCAAATCCTGACCTCCTGGTTCATAGGTTGATGCTCAACCACTGAGCCATGCCAGCCAGACCAGCTTCAATTTCAACAAGGAACTCCATGATGTAGAAATAGAAAGGTGAACGGATTTTGTTGCTGGTTATGGTTTAGCCAAATTTAAGTCATTCTCATTCGGCCCACGTTGAACCCCTACCTAAGGCTCCCATCGACCTGCACAGACAGCGTGTGCCTTAATGAGAGGAACGTCTCCTCACACCCAGCCAGCCCCGTCCCGCATCACATTGCGGCGACGTAGACGAGCCACTCGGCTGCGATCACATGAGAGGGGAGAGAAACGGGGGAAAGGGCCAAAAGGGAGAACACGAAACACCCACCATTTGTTTCTTCTTAAATTCCCCGTTGCCTAGAAACACTCAAGAAATTAATCCGCGGCAATTACAGGAGTCAAACCACTCCCAGCATGCTTCTCGCTCTCCGTGTTTAACTCATTGGTTTACCAGATTTGCAGCAGTTCATCTGTTGTTGTTTTTAATTTCTCAGATATTCTGATCATTTTTAATTTAGGAGCCTTTTAAATTCAACAAAAGGAGCTAAGTAAATTCATTTTCCAGGAAAAAAGGAAGTGATTGGGCAGCTTACAAACACCGATGCGAAGCTAGAAGCACCTTCCTGGCGCAGGGCAGGTGATCAAACAACAGGCCTTCGCAGCCCCAACCCCCGCCCGCCCCTGAGGACAGGGGACAGCTCTACAGGTGTGCTTCCACTGTCCCCCTCACACCGCCCCAGGCCTCCCTGGCCACACCCAGTGTTGGGAGGAGAAGGCGCTGTGGGAAGACCTCACAACATTGTCTCTTGTCTACTTCCCCGATGATTTGGGCACAGGCAGTGACTTCCCTTCCCCAGGCCCATCCCTGCCCATCACACGTGCTCAGTGCAGTCGGCAGCTTCTGATCTAACCAAGCTCTTCGATCGCCTGGGTTTAAAATGAGGTGTTATCACAAAATAGAGACAGCACGGGAGAAAGAGAGAGGAGGAGGAGGAGGAGGAGGAAGAGGAAGAAGAGGAGGAGAATGTATTTTCTAGCCACTTTAGACAGGGTGTTCCCAAAAAATGTATACACACTTTAACAGCTGATAGCTCAATTTAAAAAAAAAAAAAATATATATATATATATATATTATTGATTTCAGAGAGGAAGGGAGAGGGAGAGAGAGAGAAAGGTCAATGATGAGAGAGACTCATTGATCCCCTGCCTCCTACATGCCTCACATTGGGGATCGAGCCCACAACCCGGGTATATGCCCTGATCAGGAATCAAATCCTGACCTCCTGGTTCATAGGTTGATGCTCAACCACTGAGCCATGCCAGCCAGACCAGCTTCAATTTCAACAAGGAACTCCATGATGTAGAAATAGAAAGGTGAACGGATTTTGTTGCTGGTTATGGTTTAGCCAAATTTAAGTCATTCTCATTCGGCCCACGTTGAACCCCTACCTAAGGCTCCCATCGACCTGCACAGACAGCGTGTGCCTTAATGAGAGGAACGTCTCCTCACACCCAGCCAGCCCCGTCCCGCATCACATTGCGGCGACGTAGACGAGCCACTCGGCTGCGATCACATGAGAGGGGAGAGAAACGGGGGAAAGGGCCAAAAGGGAGAACACGAAACACCCACCATTTGTTTCTTCTTAAATTCCCCGTTGCCTAGAAACACTCAAGAAATTAATCCGCGGCAATTACAGGAGTCAAACCACTCCCAGCATGCTTCTCGCTCTCCGTGTTTAACTCATTGGTTTACCAGATTTGCAGCAGTTCATCTGTTGTTGTTTTTAATTTCTCAGATATTCTGATCATTTTTAATTTAGGAGCCTTTTAAATTCAACAAAAGGAGCTAAGTAAATTCATTTTCCAGGAAAAAAGGAAGAAATCTATTCACCACCCCTCACCCCCCCCAAAAAAAATGCCTAATACATGCCTAGCACATAGCATGAACATGGACTACACAGCCTAATAAATGAATGGATGAAAAAATGGATGATGAAGAGACAGAAGATGGACAGACAGATGGGTGGATGGATGGATAAATGGATGGATGGATGGATGGATGGATGGACGGATGGAGGAATAAATGGATGGATGGATAAATGGATAGATGGATGGATGGATGGATGGATGGACGGATGGACTTAGAAAATACCGATGTGAGGGACCAGGTGAAGACTAGACAATGACTTGAACATTAATGAACTAAAAAGAAAAGTCTTGAAATTCTAAGCTTCTCAAAACACCTCTTTATATCCTTTAACTTTTCAAAGTGCTTTTGCATTCAAAACAGTGTAAGGAACTTGAAACATAAATATGAGACCACCTGCCGAGGGGACACAGACCTTGGGCTCTGGATGTGACTAAGGAAGGAAGGAAGGAAGGGGTAGGGGGCGTTGGTTTCAGTGACCCATCCCCCAGGTCCTGGTCACAAAGAAAGAAAGGCAGCCCTGGTTGGCTTGGCTCAGTGGATAGAGCATCGGCCTGCAGACTGAAGGGTCCCAGGTTCAATTCCCGGTCAAGGGCACGTACCTCCATTACAGGCCCTGGTCGGGGTGCGTGCAGGAGGCAACCAATCTATGTGTCTCTCTCACATCGATGTTTCTCTCTGTCTCTCCCCCTCCCTTCCACTCTCTCTAAAAATCAACGAAAAAATATCCTCAGGTGAGGATTAACAACATAAAAAAGAAGTGCGAGGGCAGAGACTCATGGTGAGGGAGGAAGGTGTGTGTGCCGGGGCGCAGGCTCACTCATTCCCCGGAGAGCTCCATCCCCGCTCAGACGACGGCCTCACAGCCTTGCAGTGCATCTCGTCCACCAGAGGCAGATGTGGCTCCGTCCCTTTAGACCACCCACACTAGCGGGTCCTTGTTGGGTATCTATGTTGCATGAAGCTAGCACATGGTCTTCAGAGAATGGGGTCCTGCTCTGGGAGTGCAGTGAGCACAGTGAACACTGGGGCGAAGCGAAATGCAGTGGTTGGGGAGCAAGAAGACAGTGGCGGCTCTGTTACCCGGAGAGAAAAATGTGAGGGGTGACCAGGACAAAGCCGGCGATTGTGTCCAACAGAGAGTCAGTGGCTACAGGCGTCATTGAATGGGTTGTGTCGTTTCATTGTGTGATTACAAGTAGTTTATTCACTGAAAATATTCTTCCCCGCCACTTAAAAACAAGGAAAGAAAAAGGCTTTCCAAACTGAAGGAGAGGAACATCTGTGGTTAGCTTGCCACGCCCTGGACACCATCGTTGAAGGCCACTTGGGAAACTCCAGTCCCCTACGCAGAGGGCAATGTGAACTATGATTACACGTATTTAGGTCTTATTCAATGCCGGCACGTAGTACGTGGTTCCCAGCAGGACCTAATAAAAAATCGCACGCCCAGCCCAGCCGGCGTGGCTCAGTAGTTCAGCCTGAAGAACAGCGTTATCGCTCGGCCGGCGTGGCTCAGTGGTTGAGCATCGACCTATGAACCAGGAAGTCACGGTTAGATTCCCGGTCAGGGCACATGCCTGGGTTGCAGGCTGGATCCCCAGTAGGGGGTGTGCAGGAGGAGCCGATCCATGATTCTCTCTGATCATTGATGTTTTTCTCTCTCTCCCCCTTCCTCTCTGAGATCAATAAAAATATATTTAAAACACACACACACACACACACACACACAGCCTCTGCCTGCCAATGCGTTTGAGAGGCCCCCAACCACCCGTCCTCCACACCCACCTGCAGGGTGTGCGTTCACGGGGAACCCACGTGAAACTGCCTGTGTAACCAGCACAGGGAAGTGCCCAGCTCCCTGCCAACCAATTGGGTTCCTGCATTCTGACGGCCGAGGAAACCCTTCACGTACAAAATCCTGTTCTGACGGAGAGGCTTTGCTTGTCCCCTAAACGATTCTATTTCGACATCGCCTGCCTACCTGGCAGCCTCAGACCACGGTGGCGTCCCCTGCCCATCAGATAATGACTAACGTTTACGGCATTCTAGCTGGTGACGAGATTCCCCACGTTCCTCGAGCGTCACTAGGAATTACTCAGCTTTTCCAGGCCTGCGCTCTGTCCCCAGTGCTCAGGGCCGACGCACACTTGTTTCAATGTCACCGAGGGTTATCTGAAGCCGCCGTGTGGGACTGCTGTTCCGCTCTTAAAGGTTCAGGATTAGACGCAGCAGATCTGGCTCGAGGCAGACTCTGCACTTGCCCTTTGCCAAATGCCCTTCAGTCCCCTGGCGCGCTCCCCCGGGGCGTGTGACTCTGCTCCGGTAAGTCCGCTCTTCCTTATTGTCACCGTCCACAGCCGTGGCAAGGCCTGGCTGTACGGACTCCCGCCCTCCCTCCGTGCAGAGAAGTGCCTTGTCTCTTCCGATAGACTTTCATTTCAGCTGGTGAGGACGTGTGCCTGCCTCGTCGTAAGAGCTTATGAAACGTTTGTTAAATGTTCGATGAAATGTATCGGACCCGTCTTTAAAAGAATACAACAAAGCAGCCCACGTTCTACTAGACTACAGTCTCAATTTTATGGAGAAGGTGTAGCTTGACATTAGCCTTGGCCAAATGATCTCTAAAGATAAAATATCTTTACCGCCGACCCCTTAGGAATCATCTGCCGCCCATCACAGGTGACCAACCCCCTTCGGTCAGGGTTGCCTGGCCCAAGCGTCCGCTCTGTGCACTGAAGGGCATCGGTGAGGCCAGGGCTGTACAGTTACTAGGCATCCGTATTAACTAGCTCATGACAATACAAAGCATCTCAGATTTGATGGGTCATTCGGAAACATGTAAATTCTTTCCCCACCAGAGCAAAGACTGGATTATCTTTTTTCCATTTTTACTGGCTAACTACCCCCAAATGCAAGACATGCATGAGCAATTCTGCAAACCAATGGGGTGGGGCGGGGGGGGGGCGCTGATGGAAAAGTTCATGAAATCGGTCACTGAGGTTCCTCCCCATAAGGTTATGGGAAAATGGCGTTGCGATGTTTGATGAGACGCCAGAATAGCAGGGGCCTGAACAAGACGAGGGAGGTTCACTTCTGTCCCGGCCGGGAGTCATTCCAGGGGACACAGGCGGCAAGTCACCTGATCCTGCCTGTTGTTACTCTGCTTCCCCCCCACCCCCACCCCCCAAGAGGTCCCTTGGTTGCGTGGCCACCGTCAGCTCTCCACTGCCACCTCCGCATTCCAGCTGGAAGGGGAAGATAAACGGAGGACAAACACCTCTATTTTAAGGATATGACCTGAAAATGGCAGAGGTCGCTTCTGCTACTGTCCTATTGGCCAGAATTTAGTCACATGGCACCATTTAATGCAAAGGGGGCTGGGAAATGTAGTCTGTGGCCGGGTAGCCAGAGAGACACGTGAAACCCAGGGAGTTCTCTTACTGAAAGAACAGGAGCAATGGGGGTGGGGTATTAGCAGGTGGCCAAACAGACTAGCACGTTCCTTCATTTATCACACAGATCGCATTTATTAATCAAGCACCATCCCAAAACTATTATAACAATCCTGGCAATGTTGGAGCGCATTTTGGTTTTCTGTCTAGAACAGGATTTTCAAGGACAGGGTGTCCCTGAAACTATATTAACACCCCCTTATTCCAAAAGCATCAATATTAAAATTGAAGATCATAAGAGCATCGTCCCCATACGTCAAGGTTTCAGGTTGGATCCCCAGTTGGGGCATACAAAAGAATCAACCAATGAATGCATCAACAAGTGGAAAAACAACTTTTTAAAAATATATTTTTGTTGATTTCAGAGAGGAAGGGAGAGGGAGAGAGAGACAGAAACATTAATGATGAGAGAAAATCATGGACCTGCTGCCTCCTGCACGCCCCCTACTGGGAATTGAGCCTGAAACCCGGGCATGTGCCCTGACCAGGAATCGAACCGTGACCTCCTGGTTCATAGATCACGCTCAAGCACTGAGCCACACCAACCAGGCTACAACAACAAATTGATCTCTCTCTCTCTCTCTCTCTCTCTCTCTCAAATTGATTGATTGATTGATTGATTTTTTAAATTTTTTATTGAAGATTGAATCTCCAGATGGACCTGGTAGGTTTTCTCTTTCCCTGGAGCTATTGGAGCCGGCCCTCCCCCTAGCAGACGGGGAGGAGAAGGGACAGGGAGTCATTACTGAGGAACACCTTTTAGGTCACACCCTGTGCCGAGGCTTGCAAACACGACCACATCTACCTCCTCCAGGAAGCCCTCTGGGAAACTATGACCCCAAACCAGGGAGCTGAAGCTTGGGCGGTTCGGTAACTCCGACGGCGCCAGCTTTGCTCGGGTTCCCTGTCTGTGTCCGTGGCCAGAGCTGGGGGCGGGGGGAAGCAAACCTTCACACAAATCACAAAATAGAAGCAAACCACCAGCGGCTTCCCGGATCCCGTGGGGGAGAAAGGAACGCAGCTCCCTGGCCCAGAGGCAGGGTCAAGGGTCAGGGGTCACACTGCTCAGCACTCGGAGCTGAATTCAACACCTGCTGGAGGCCGCCTGCCTGAGAGCCTGTGAGTCCCGGACTCCGGCTCCGTTGGTCCAGCTCCGGGTGTGTGTGAGGGTGCGACAGGTGGGGTGTCATCTGAGCCTCTGTCCACTGGTCTCCAAAGTACCCGGGGAGTGGCCCAGCCTGGGGAACCCCCCCTGCCCCGGGGCGCCCCCCCCCCCCGCACGGTGGGGCCGTGGCTCCCGAGACACACACGCTGCCTCAGCCCTGCCCAAGGCTACGGCGAAACCCGCCATAGACCGCATCCCAGGCGCGGCCTCGGGGACACGCCACGCCGCTCTGTTCCACTCGCACCGCATCCCATGTCACTGCCCACGTCACTCCTAAGCCTCCATCACTTTGGACAGCGTCGTGTTGAAGCAGAGAAACTCCTTGGCAGGGGCCTCGCCACCAGCGCCTCCCAGAACCAGGCTCGGCAGCCAGAGGGAAACGGCGAAGCCAGGCCTGACTCCTGGGCAGAGGACGGTCCACCCGGCGGAGAACGGCCCCTGGCAAACCCCTCAGGAAGGGCCGGACAGAAAGGCTGCTTCCACATGTGGGTGGGCCCCACCAGCATTTCCATCGTCTCTCTCTTCATTAGCATGAAAAGTCGGAAACCCTGTCCCACCGCTGAGCGAGGAGAATGCCTCTGCCTAAGAACGGTCTTACAGGTCTTGCTCCCACGGAGGCTGGAGGCCGATGAGACAGGAGTTAGGAGCTCAGGCTCCGAAGGGAGAGGTGTAGGGAGGGACCTGCTTCCCAATCCCGTCCTGCTCGGGCCGGGCCTCCCAGCCAGGGACCTTCCGAGGGGTCAGCTTGCTCATCTGTGCGATGGAACCATCGCAGGGCTCCGGGCTGGTGGTGAGGACCAAGCAGGCCCGGCCCGGCACAGTGTGACGCTCATACATGTGACACGTGGTTCTAGTGGCTGACAGGCGGTGCTGTGACATAGGACACGTGCTGCTGAATTTGTTTTCTCCTGAGTTCCGGTCTGTCTGGCCCTCACGGCAGCCTGTCGGTTGTGTCAGGCCTCGCTTAACTCCACCGACAATGGGGAGAGAGGAATGGACCCTGAGCAGCAGAAAAACCACCTTCTGAAATGACCCCTTCTTGGCGCATCCAGCGTTGTGGTCTGTCCTTTTTCGAAGATAAAAAACTGCAGCTGTAATGGGACTGGGGACACTGTCTCGTGATGAGTAAGGGAGGCTGTTGCTGTCGGTTGTGTCAGGCCTCGCTTAACTCCACCGACAATGGGGAGAGAGGAATGGACCCTGAGCAGCAGAAAAACCACCTTCTGAAATGACCCCTTCTTGGCGCATCCAGCGTTGTGGTCTGTCCTTTTTCGAAGATAAAAAACTGCAGCTGTAATGGGACTGGGGACACTGTCTCGTGATGAGTAAGGGAGGCCGTTACCAGGCCATGGCACGAAATGGAAGCTGCCTGCTCTCCCCAGGGGACTCTCGAAAATCACCCTCCTTCCCCAGCAAATGGCCACGGAGAAGGTGGACTGCAGGATGGACAGCATCCCAAGTCCTCTCAGGTCCTCTGTTATCTAAACTGGCACCTGCCCCTGCCCACCACCTCTCAGGAGCTGGGAGGGGCTCACTCCTCCATCGGCCCCGCCTCACAGCCCAGGAGGCACCAGGAGGCCAGTTCTCTGTCCCCACCGCCTGGTTCTCGCAGCCTGAGTCAGCACTCCCCACGCCTGGAAAGGTGATACCTCCTAAGGAGGGGATGTAGCAATTACGGAAACTCTAACCCATCGCAGAGAGAGAAGCAGTGAAGGTTAGGGAGCCGTCGCCCAGCGACCTCCCCCAAAAGGCCCCAGGTACAAACAATTTTAGTTTTCAGTATGGAGGGTGTCCCCCCAAAATGTCTACACATGCTCTGAATAATTCTAAAGGCAGTGCTTATTAAAATACATCTCACTTTCAGAATTGATCTATCAGCTGTTAAAGTGTGTGTACCCTGTATATACAGGGTATACACATATATATACATATATCTAAAACTAAAATATTTTAAATATATACACACATATGAATATGTATGTGTGCATATGCATGTATACACATACTTTGAATAATTACAAGGATGTATATAGATACATGTGTGTACATATACATGCAAATATCCTATATAATAAAGGGTAATATGCAAATTGACCCTAACGGCGGAACGACCAGGAACGACCAGTTGCTATGATGCACACTTACCACCAAGGGGCAGATGCTCAATGCAGGAGCTGCCCCCTGGTGGTCAGTGCACTTCCACAGGGGGAGCTCCGCTCGGCTGTAAGCACAGCTGCAGTGGCGGGAGCCTCTCCTGCCTCCTCCCCAGCGCTAAGGATGTCTGACTGCAGCTTAGGCCCAATCCCCCGGGGAGTGAACCTAAGCTGGCAGGTGGACATCCCCTGAGGGCTCCTGGGCTGCCAGACTGTGCAGGCCGGGCTGAAGGACCCTGCCCCCTCCCAAACAAGTGCATGAATTTTCATGCACTAGTGTGTGTGTGTATATACACACACACACACACACACACACACACACACACACACACACACATTTGCCTTCCTCACTTCACCACAGCACAGCTCTCAGGAAACTGAAATCAGAACCAAGGATCATGCCCAGGGTTGGACTACAAAGGGTCCTTCCCTGTTAAATAGCTATGATTCTTGAATCGAGCCTAATAATTATAATGTTCTAAAGTGTTGACTGGCTAGAAAAAAAATTGCTATGATTTTTTCTAAATCATTTATGTGGAGATGTGGGTAGGAAACATCGGCGAACTGCACGTGCACCGTTCCTTCTGTTCAACTTTAAACTTAAGAGTCTTTGTCCAAGAAATTCCTCGGTTTCGCTGGGAAGTAACATTAGTCATTGCAATGAAGACCCTGGGGCAAGGGCCAGCCACTTCACCCAAGAATTCCTTTTGCCCAGAACACAAGGTAGCCTGGCACTGAGCACTGTTCAACCAACCCGGGTGTCGGGTGCCTCCCATGGGCCCAAGGTGCTGTGTGGTGGGAGCTGCGTTCTCAGACGGTACCTGGATACTTGCATGCCCTGGCCCCAGGAGAGGGGGTACCGGGGGAGATACACTTGAGAGCGACGCATTTGTCCTGCCGCAGCAATAAAACGTCTCTCTCTTTTGTTGTCAGGCTTGAAAAAGAGATCCAAGACCTAGAAAGGGCGGAGCTGCAGATCTCGACTCACGAGGAGGCGATTTTAAAGAAACTGAAATCCGTGGAGAGGACCACGGAAGACATAATAAGGGTGAGTGCCTGGATGAAGCTAAAACCCAGATTTCCCCTCCACGCGGGTCCACGAGAGCGTACCATTCTTCAGCGCATACCCACACTCAGAAGCTATCTTGTCAACTGTATTAACCTTAAAGAATTCTTTTTTTTTCTCTTATAGTCTGTGAAGGTGGAAAAGGAAGGAACGCCAGGAGGTACGTTTCTGAGCATTCTCGTCTATGTCTCCTTCAGCTGTGTTTTGACAAGCCCACTGACATTGTTTCCATGACCGTCCATATCCTCCAGCTGTATTTTGAATTGATATTAATTTTGCAGAGTCGATTGAAGACATCTATGCTAATATCCCCGACCTTCCAAAATCCTACATCCCTTCCCGATTAAGGAAGGAAAGAAATGATGGACTAGAAGACGATGAGCAAAATAGAAAAGGTACATCAGTGATCTGCCTCCAGAGGCAGCTCGCGCCTTCAGAGCTTTCCAAGGTCACGTTAGCCACTTGCTCTGCCATCTACGCGCCCAGCTTATTCAATGGTCCGTTTCACAGACTCCCATGAGGTCTGGGGTCACCTGCACAGGTAGGGGTAACCGGCCGGGTGTTCGGTCCAGGCGCTCTATTCCCTAGCAACGAGGTAAGGACGGAGGAGAGGAAGGCCGACGGGAACAAGCAGCTCTTGAAAGCAAAGCTCCTCTACTCGAAAGCGTCTCTCCCACCAGATCCCACCCCGTAGACACGCTCTTGAGTCACGAAGATCCTCCATCAAAATAGAAACACTCCCCGTGGGCAGGCCAGGCGTGGTTTACCCCCATGGGGAGGGGGGCGTGGCTTCCATAAAACAATGCTTCAAAGCCGCTGGGGAAATGAAGTTCTATAGGGGGGAGCTTTGCATTTTAGACCAGAAAGGGAAGCTACGTTCTACGGGCAGGTACCAGCCATTCGCTCATTCATTCAGCAACTATTTAGTGACCACGCACTACATGCCCAGCTCCATCCTCGCACGAAGAACACAGTAGTGAATAGCACAGCAAGAGCCCGGCCTCGGTGGCTCCGTGGTTGGCCGTTGACCTATGAACCAGGAGGTCATGGTTCCGTTCCCGGTCAGGGCACATGCAGAGGGCGTGCAGGAGGCAGCCGAGCAATGATTCTCTCTCATCATCGATGCTTCTATCTCTCTCCCCCTCTCCCTTCCTCTCTGAAATCAATAAAGACATATTTAAAAATAAATAAATAAAGCAGCGAGAGCCGCTGCCCTCGTGGAGCTGACATTGTAAGGGAGAAAACAGACAGACATTAGGTAAATAATAAACTATCCCGCATCAGGGAGTGAGGGTGCTGAGGAGAAGGACGAGCAGAGACCGGAGGGGTGGGGATGAGGGCTCTGCCATTGTCGTTGGGGAGCCGAGGCCGGGAGCCGGGGGCGATGAACGGGACAGGAAGGCAGTGGCTTCAGAAGAAAGGTGGAGACCAGCCACTGCCATGGTGCCCACCGTCCTATTAGCTTCCCGACGCCAGTTAAAACGGCAGCCACGGGACCTCGCTGGGCCCTGGCGGGGCCTCAGCTCCCCCATCAGCAGGCTCGCTGCAGGACCGCTGGCTGCTCTATTTTTAGCCCTTTCTCCACTTGAACGTGGGAGTGAGAATGAGAAGCAGCCTCCGGCCAGAGGCGAGGCCTGTGACCCCAGCCCCCTCCCTCTTCACGGCCAGCTGGACAGTGACGCGAGCTCCCTTGGCGAGGGTGTCAGGAGTCCTCTATGGTCTCCCGTGGCTGCGAGGTCCCTGAGCAGCAAGGGGGTGGGGGGCGGGGGGCACCTAACCCGACGCGGGACCGAGCGAGGCCTCTGCCTCCGGGAACGCAGTGCGGAACACTTCTCCCCGCTCACGAGGTCTGCGTCCTCCCAGTGAGTCATGCAAAGAGCGTAAATCCATCTCGTTGGGTTTATTCCTTAGAAAGAACATAGCTTTGGGTGCCCGGTGAAAAGCCTGACCATCTGAAACCACCTGCTTCTCTCCTCCAATCCTTCCCACTTTTCGCTGATGTCACCCATCCTGACCTAAACTCCCGTCTCACCAGGCTTGGTCACTGTGTAGTTGACGAATAAAATCAGAAATGCACAAACTAGACCATCAGAAGGGACCTTCGTGTGTGTGTGTGCGTGCGTGTGTGTGTGCGCGTGTGTGTGTGTGTGTGTGTATGTGTGTGTGTGTGTGTATGTGTGTGTAAGCCATGAGAAAGCAGGCTCGTGTACGAGAGGAAGCGGGAACTGAATCGGAGATGGGCTTTGTCTCTCCGCAGCGCTGTACGCCATGGAAATCAAGGTGGAGAAAGACCTGAAGACGGGCGAGAGCACGGTGCTGTCCTCCATCCCGCTGCCGTCGGAGGACTTCACGGGCGAGGGGGTGAAAGTGTACGACGACGGGCGCAAGTCGGTGTACGAAGTCAGCTCCGACCACCCGGCCGCGCTCAACGGCACGGACAGCCTGGGGCCCGTGGAGGTGGAGGACCTCCTGAGGCAGGCGTCCGAGAGGAGCTCCCGGTCCCCGACCGAGTACCACGAGCCCGTCTACGCCAACCCCTTCTGCAGGCCCACCACCCCGCAGAGGGAGAGAGCAGCCCCCGGGCCCACCACCCAGGAAAGGAGCCAGAGGCAAGCGAACGGACTGGGGGGCGACAGGAACCACTCCGTCCACCACGTGGACAACGGGCTGTCGGGGGAGAGGGGCGACCGCTGGCATCCCGACAGCCCCCCTCGGCCGACCCCTCACCCGCGCCGATGGGTGATTCCACAAGCAGAGAGGCTGCCGGCCGCTTGGGAAGGAGCGGATGGGACAGACGGGCCTCCGGACAAGCAGGCGCCCTCCCCCAAGGCCGGGCCGGGCCCCAGAGGAGGGCTCGCTGGGAGGTCTGAGCGCCAGGGCCCTTCTCCCACGTGGCAGGGGGCCGAGGAAGACGTGCGCTACAACATCATGCACTCCCTGCCCTCTGACATGGACGGCGCGGAGCCCGTGACCATGATCTTCATGGGGTACCAGCAGGCAGACGACGATGCGGAGGAGCGCGGGGTCCTGACGGGCTATGACGGCGTCATCCACGCGGAGCTGGTTGTCATCGATGAGGAGGAGGGCGAGGGAGAAGCTGGGAAACCTGCCCCCCAGCCCAGGGCGTCCCACGGTCAGGCGCCCCAGCCGGCCAGGCCGACACCTCTCCCCAGGAAGAGAGCGGAAGTCAAGCCCCCGGAGCACGCACGCCACCCTTCTCCCCACAGACACTCCATGTCGCTGAGAGAGCAGGAAGAACGCCTGGGCAGCCCCGTCCACCCGCCTCCACACACCGCTCCGATGGCCGGGGACGGCACGGAGGACCCGTCGCTCACAGGTAATACACGGGGCAAGGCTTGCCGCTGCTGTGTGGTCATGTGACAGCCCGGTCCTCGGGTCGTTAACAAACCCTCTTGTTTTCCGCCTTTCGGACCATCCCACAGACTAACACACACTAAGATTGATCATTAACCCTGATTTCATTGTCACCCAATGTGAGTCAGTCAATTCAAAAGATAAGGAGAAATGGGTTTTTTTTAAATCGTCGCCTTATTTGGGTATTGCATTGGCTGACACTGATAACCTGAAATGCGCCTGCTGTCAGGGTGTGTGGTCCTGTGTGTGAAGGTATTTAGATCACTAATAAGTTAGCTCATTGATGTCAGATCTTTTCGCTCCAGAAGCCGATGCCAGCTACTTTTGTGTGCCTCTGTGATTTCAACTTCCTACATAAGCTAACAAATGGCCTTATTTTTGCAAGAAAGAACAAGAAACAAATTTTATTTTTAGTGTGATATTTTATCACTTTGCTATACCTTCTTCCTACTTTTCATAGTTTTATTAACTTTACTTCCTTAATTTTTCTATATTTTAAAATAAAACATCACTTTATCTATCGGCCATTATCTACAACATTTGATTTTGCATAGCCTTCCCTAACTCAGCTCATTTATTTTTACCATTTTCTATATCTTTGCATTTCTCGTTCCCTGTACAGTTCTATGGCTGCCTATCTCTCTTAGCATTGAGTGGAAAACCACTCTTTTTCTACAAAAGCGACAGCTCTTCAAGTTTAGATTCCTTGGTAGCACTTGACTAACGTTCTCTACTCACCATTTACAAATACTAAACACGAATCTGACAAAATCAATGATAAAAGCTGTACTTGCCTTGCTAAAGACGTAGACAACATACCCAGGCATATTGTAAGGGACATATATAAAGGGGACAGTCATTTCAAATGTCTCTAATAGAAGAATTCTCATTAAAAAGCAATAACTATCGCCCCGGCCTGTTTGGCTCAGTAGATAGAGCGGTAGCCTGCGGACCGGGTTTGATTCCGGTCAAGGGCACGTACCTTGGTTGCAGGCTTCTCCCCAGCTTGGGCCCTGGTCGGGGCACATGCAGGAGGCAACCAATCGATGTGTCTCTCTCATATGGATGTTTCTGTCTCTCCCTCTCTCTTCCACTCTCTCTAAAAATCAATGGAAAAATGACCTCAGGTGAGGATTTTTAAAAAAAAGCAATAATTATTGAGTCCCAACTAGTCTAGCAAGCAGAGCCTGACCGTTCTACAGGAGTTTGCTAGTGCCTGGACCATTCTTCTTCCTCTGCACCCGATAAACCCAGCCTCGGTTTGCCAATAACACAGTGAAATGGGTCTCTTCCCATCTGTGACGTAGTTCAATGAGGCTCGCCGGCTGTACACTTACTCATCTGAAGCATTTCTAATCTCTTGGCGACTGGACACCTCCATTACTTTCCTAAACCCTGAACTCGATTCCACAAGCACCAAGCGTTGCATGGTATGTCCCCCACGATGGAGACCTGCTATCCGAACGTTCCTTTCCCTTTCGAGAATGAGCTTTGTCTGCTGAGCAAACTTTCCATCTTTAAAACCACATGGAAGACTTGGGATCGGGGAACACACTGTGTATGGTCGGGAGCTGTGACATGACCCACCCCGAAACCTCCCACTTTTTAGTTCGGACAGACGTTAGTCAGCGCCTCCTGAACGCCCCGACCCTCTCCCCTACCGGATTCACACCCTGACCTCAAGGAAAAGCCAGGAAGTGACTCATGCTTCCAGACACTCCTGGCACTGAACTAACTCGGGAAAACAGGAAGCGCCCTCCACACCGAGGAACAATGCAAAGCCCGCGCCATCGGGCGGAGCATCTCACAAACAGGAGCTCCGAATCCCTGGCCCGTTGGGACGCGGCCGCATGTCGCTGCTCTCTAACGCGGTGCGTGGCTTGAAGAGCTGCTCTGCTTTGAGTGGCTCTTTTCAATACGCACATCTCATAGATACATGCCCTCAGGGAGCCTCTGTGGGCATAGAATACACAGCCCCTGCTTCACAAGCACCGAGTCGGTTGAACTTCGCCACCCACCCCCTTAACATGCCACGGTTGGTGTTTGAGAATTCACTTCAGTCAACCCCTTTACTTAGGGAACAGGTCCCTGTCTAGATATCGATATTTGTGGAAGGCATCATAGCTAGGAATTGTTCTTCTCTTTGTGTAAGTGTTGTCATGAGAGCCTGAGCGAACAGCGATTGTGAACGTGGAAAAGAGCCTGGAGGAGGAAGAGAGATGGGAAAAGGTGGAGGCTGAAGATCCTAGAGACAATATTTTTCAGCCAAAACTTTGAGCAGCGTACGACACGACAAGAACTTGTCGGCACAGTCGTGTCTGTCTGCTGGTGTACACATAACAGGGTCGTGTCTAAGACAGCGGTCGCCACCCGGTGGCCCGCGGACCACTGGTGGTCCGTGAGGTCCGAAAGGCTGGCGACCGCTGGTCTAAGATACAGCTCAGTGCCAGACCTCCCGCCAGCGAGGGGCCCCAGCAAGCGCCTCCCGGATGTCACCACTCTCCCCACCAGCTGGACGGCTGGCTCTCTTTGGCATCCTCACCGACTTGGACTTGGACTTCTCCTGGCTCTGTTCTCCCCTTAGAGATGTCAGTGATGTTTCAGGATGAGGAGGTGGGGGGATTCACAGGCTGCCGGTGCCCATGTGCCCAACCTGTGGCAACCATTAGGAGCCCAGGGGTCCTGAGAGTAAGGGGCAAGCTCTCTCACCAGGTTCAACCAGCCAACGCCATGAGCCTGCATCGCTGTGGGGAGCGGGGGATAGAGAGCAGAGAGGAGCAGAAAGGAGAGCTGAGAGCCCAGGTTGATGAGCTGGGCACCTTAGGGCCTTCCCACTGCCCACGCGCCCTGGCCCCACACATCCACCTACTTGACACGCTACCTATTGCCACAGGAGCAGAGAAAGGAATTAGCACCCTCTAACGATCGAGAATTCTTTTCCCCATTAAGGAATAGGACAGTGAGAAACGGGACTGAATCACCCCACTCCTGAGCCCTCACACAGCTACATGTCCTTTAAGAATTTCACTGGATGTCCTGTGTGCTGTGTTCGCTCTACTCATTTTTCCAACCTTTACAGAAAAAGTTCCTTCTAGTCCTGAGTCTGCTGCTGCCCCAGGTTAACAGTGGCTTGTTATTCCTACTACCCTTTTGTGCTACTAAAACGATGCTCACATTGTTGGACAAAACCCTCCCCGTGAACCTGGCCCTGCTCCCCTTTGGGGATGGGCAAGAGAGAGGGCCACAAAGCCACGAGGAGAAACGACAAAGCCTGTCCCGCCTCCAGCTCCCTCCTGCTGCGGAGGACGCGTTCTCAGGTGGCACCTCCCGACTTCTCCCAGCAATAGAGACCGACAAAGCCTGTCCCGCCTCCAGCTCCCTCCTGCTGCGGGGGGAGGACGCGTTCTCAGGTGGCCCCTCCCGACTTCTCCCAGCAATAGAGACCACCCTCTTGGTCTGATCCCAAATTCAAGGGACTGTTCTTGACCCCGCCCACTAGAAATGGCAATTCCCCTTCAGGCTGCCAGGGAAATGCTACTCTTTTGTTTCATTTAGATGCAATCATCCTATATAATAAAAGGTTAATATGCAAATCGACCGAACAGCAGAAGGATCGGTCACTATGACGCGCACTGACCACCAGGGGGCAGACCCTCAATGCAGGAGCTTCCCCCTGGTGGTCAGTGCACTCCCACAGGGGGAGCTCCGCTCAGCCAGAAACCGGGCTCATGGCTGGTAAGCGCAGTGGCAGTGGCGGGAGCCTCTCCCGCCTCTGCTGCAGGCGGGCGGTGAGGAGTAAGGGGTCCCAGGCTGCGAGAGGGAGCAGGCTGGGCTGAGGGACACACACACACACACACACACACACACACCAGTGCGCGAATGTCATGCACCAGGCCTCTAGTTTCATATAAGTGAAGTGACAATAAAAACGATCATGGTTTTGTTACAGTATTGGATCCTATGTGTGAACAAGAGCTTCTTGGAGGTGTCGTCATTCATGTCATTTGTTAATGACAACTAATAATAGATGGCTGAGAAACGAGAGAGCATGTCTTCCCTTTGCTATTTTTTTTTCATCAAATAACATTTTGCAATCAGTTATCTAGCTCTGTCACACATGACTGTCATAACCAGTGCCTTGCCAGCCTTTCTCAACTTTCGGAAAATGATGTGGAGCAGCTATACGCTGAGCCCCGACTCTGGAGGGCATGGTACCAGAACATCAGACGCGTCTTGTGAATTCTAACTCGACGTTTTTAAAAATGGTCTCTTCCTCCAGTACATCATTAGTGGTGGAATATGCTCAGAAATGTATATTTGGCATTTGAAAGACGTTTTATGATTACTCCAACTTTCATTACTGGTTCACGTGGTTTCATTATAAAAAATTTTGCTTTTGTCACTCTCTATCCAAGAATGGAGCCCCTTGGTATAGTCAAGTTTGATGAATTAAAAGATAATGTAACCATGAAATAGAGTTTGAGTCGATGCCTTTTTTTAGTTGTGCATAGCTCAGGAATATGCACAAAACACAGTCATTGACCTAGATGGAATTTATCGATAGCCAACAGTGAGGCTGTGCACTAACCCTATATTGACTCCACTTTTGCCTTGCTTGCTCTACTGATTTTTCTAATCTTTATAGTAACAGGCTCCTTCTAGTTCTGACCCTGCTTCTACCCTGAGTTAATCATAGCTTATTATTTCTACTATCTTTTTGTGCTACTAAAACAATGCTCACATTGTTGGACAAAATCATCTGAGGTATGTTTCAAACTTTCCTGCATTCTATGAAATGGTCATTTAGAGTAGAAATTAAGATTTCTGCTTATAACTATTTTTTTTCTTTAATTTGCAGCTTTAAGGATAAGAATGGCAAAGCTGGGGAAAAAAGTTATCTGAGAGGTGTACCATCTACATAAACATACTTTGGAGAAGAAACTACGAAATGTTTGCCACTTTCTCTCCTGGATACTGTGTTTCTTTCTTTTTCTTTTCGATCCAAAAAAAATTATGATTATACCCATATTAAGCCATGTGAGTAAGCAATAGCCATTATTTGTAAAATATATATATAAATATATATATATTGCAAAAAAGCTGGGAGAATGAACACTCAGCTTTTCCAGTTACTTGACATGATTCAGTGGGGGTGAAAACCAGAATATTTTTATTGTATTGATACCAAAACATTTCTAATAAGAGCTTGTTAAATTTAAGAATAAAGTTATTTAAAATAGCCTGACTCTATTCCATTAACTGATGTTGTAATTTTGCGAATACAAATGAAAGATCATCGGGAGCCACTGTCCCTTGTCACAGAAACATCCATCTTTAAGTCTGACACGTGAACGGGCCTTCCCAACCCACCGAGGCTGTAAGACAACCACATCCTCCCGCTGAGGACCGAGTCGGCTGGCTGGGGAGAGACTTCAGCCCTTGGCACACGTCCAACAGGTGTGTGCGATGGTTATCCTCACATTTGGGGACGGGACTGGGATTATGTTGCTCGTGTACATGACTTTACAGACGATAACTGGCATGTTTATTCTTCTTGAAACATCACCCTTTCTGTCATTCAGTTCAATGTGAGCCCCCTGGTTCAATGACTGGGTAAGACCCAAGGCTGGTCGATGGAGGACTTCCCCTATTCTCAGAGGACACAAATCTGGTCTCAGGCTTGACCGATGGTGGTGAACAAGACAGAATCCTGTTATGTGTGCAGCATGCATTCCTAAGGATTCTTGCCGGGACGTGAACTCCTAATTTGAAGAATAGTCTGATGCCAGTTCTCTCCTACTCCACCCAACACCCTCACATCCACGCACACGCGTCCTCCCCAGATTCGCCCGCGCCTGGCACCCAGGTCCTGTGGGTCTTCCGGTGAGTTTCCCTGCTGAGACGATGAGACCCAACCTCAGTCGCCAGGAGGTAGCAGCAGCAGACCCAACGGACCAGCATCACCCTGAGAGGCATCGGCCTCAGACAAGTTCTGTGCAAAGGCCAGCTGGTCTCTAGGAGGAAAGAGCTCCTCTGCTGTCTGGAATGTTCTAGAAAATCTGGAGATTCGAATTTCAGAGACACTTTCATGCAAACACCCCAACCCCGGGTCCCATAACTTCCCCCTCTTCCCTAACCTTAACCCTAACCCTGACCCTCACTCTGGCCCCCACACACTCCTGGGAGAAGTTGGAGGTTGGAATGCAATCTTTCCTTTTTCTCTCTTTCCTTCCAGGATGTGCTCTGTCATTTTTGCTTTCAAGGGTTCCGCTATGACTTGCATAAGCCTGCCTTCAGGTTTTCCTGTGCGACATGTCCCCCTGCGTCGGGAGTCAGTAAAGTTATCAAATTTGGGGATTTCCTAGTCGTTAGATCCGGAGCCTCCTCTCCTTCTGAGAGAATACCATGCAGGTTGTCATTCAACAGGTCCCTGGGGTTGAACTGTTTTCCAAAAGTTTTTCTTTCTTCTCTTCAAAGAGATCATTTCTATTGATCGATCTATCTTCAAATCCACTGGCTCCTTATTCTCTGCTGTCTCCATTCTGGTATTAATTCTATCCAGTGAATTTTTTCAAATACTTTTTTCAGCTCCTCAATTCTATATGGTCCTGTTGCATTGTTTCCATGTCTGTGCATCTTTTCTTAAAAATTATTTTTATTGATTTCAGAGAGGAAAGGAGAAGGAGGGAGGGAGAGAGAGAAACATCAATGATGAGAGAGAACCATTGATTGACTCTCCACCCACCCCACTCCGGGCCGCATGACCCCACACTGGGGATCTAAGCCCGCAACCAGGCATGTGCCCTGACCAGGAATCGGATCATGACCTCCTAGTTCATAGGTCGAAGCTCAACCCCTGAGCCACACTGGCCGGGCTCTGTGCATCTTTTAATTTGCAGCAGGCACGTAGCCCAGGCTGCCAGGGCGGCGGGCAAACAGGCGCTGGGCTCCCCTCTCTGATGTCTTCCTTCCCAGGACGCCCCCTCCCTGTCCTGACAGCGGCAGGCGGCCTGTCCAGTCTGTGCTGAGACCGCAGTGCCCTGCCACCCAGCACCACGGGGCTCACTGCAGCTGCTCTGAAGCCACAGCCTGAGAACAGGGAGCTCAAACCCCCTTCCTCCTGGGGGTGGGCTCCGCCCCGGGGCCTTCCCACTTCTGCTCTCCGGGGCGGGGCGGGGCTCACGGCAGCTGCTTTTTAAAAGTTTACATTCATTTCTGGAGGAGAATGTGTTCGACAAGACCTTAGCCATTGCTCGATTCGGGAAATGCTTATCCTAAGAGTATGGGTGTCTGATGGGGAGTCAAAACATTTGCTGAGATCCTCACGGGGAAATGCAGAATACGAGGCGATTTCCTCCACGTTGAATAAGGCATCACACTTCTACAGATGTGCTCTGCACACCTGGAGAAAGTCTCCTCCCCGAACCGGAGGTGTGGGACCAGGCATGACATGAAATTACATGAACTTCTTTGATAACAAAATAAGAAACTAAACTGATAACAAGTTTAGGGCCAGCAAAACCCCTGGATTTTTCCACCCAAAGGTGTAATCCAAGAGCAGTCATGAGACCAGTATTTGTTTTATTGAAGTGAAATTCACATAAAAATAATTTTAAAAATATACTTTTATTGATTTCAGAGAGGAAGGGAGAGGGAGAGACTGGGGATTGAGCCTGCAACCTGGGCCTGTGCCCTGACCTGGAATCGAACCGTGACCTCCTGGTTCATAGGTCCACGCTCAACCACTGAGCCATGCCGACCGGGTCAAAAAATAACAATTTAAAGTGAACTATTCAGTAGCATTTCTTACATTCGCGATGTTGTGCAACTGCCACCTCAATCTCCAGAATACGGTCCTCACCCCAAACTGAAAATGGTCTGTGGATCATGCAACGACCCCATTCCTCCGCCCCACAGGGAGGCAGCCGATCAATAATGCTCTCATCACTGATGTTTCTATCCCTCTCCTCCACTCCTTTCCTCTCTGAAATCAATAAAAATATATATTTAGGGGGAAAAATGGGCCCAGGGTAGGTCAGTGACCTGCCCACAGACCTGCAGCTTCTAAACCTGCAGATGGTGGGAACCGGGAGGGAGCCAGCCCCGCCCGAGCGGTGAGCAAACTCATGAGCTTGGAAGGGCTCCAAGAGGGGGGTAGTCCTGAGCCAGAACCTGACAAGCTGGCTTTTGCCAGAGCGAGAGGAACCGAAAGGGCATCCCAGGCTGGTGGCCAGCGGTGACCTGGGCCCCGGGGTGAGCCGTGGGGGCTGGGCCAGGAGGAAAGAAGCGGACGCGGACAGGGACGGCGTGGGCCCTCATCAGCTGTGACAAGAGCTGAGAGGAAGCGTCCTTCCTTTCTCTCTCTCCTGGATTATCTCACACGGGGACCTGGTCCTGTCTTCCTGCTCCACCAGAGTAACAGATCCACAGAATTCCAGCCAAAAGCTGCACGTGCCCCAGAACTTGCCGGTGGCAGGTGCCGCACTGCGCCCTGGGCGGGGCGGGCAGGACGTGGAAGGACGAAGCTCACTGGCCACGCGTTAGAGCCCAAACCCTGATGGAAACCAGGCCGGCACTGAAGTGAAGTCGTGCATTTATTCACAAGCTTTGCCGCAAGCTCCCTGCGCCCTTAGACCGATGACCACAGACCAGAAAATCATAAACACAGAACAGGCTCGGCGATCAATGCTCCCCAGCCACCGTCCTCTAGAATTAGTTTCATCTTTTTCCCCAAAAAACATACTTATTTGTATTGTATAGAAGAGCCCATCTTTAAGATAAACAAGCACCTGTAATTCTGCTCACTCCCCCGACAACATCGCTAAAGACAGAAAGGCATGTCGGTTAGTAATCACTGCTATCGAAAGTAATGTGTGTGTTTTTTAAAAAAGACACCCCGATTGTTTATTATAAAAATGGAGAGAAAGATTGGGAAAAGTGAAGGTAGGCATTTTCTTTTCTTTTTTTTAAAATTTATCTTTATTGTTGAAAGTATGATAGATGTCCACTTTGTGTGCTGTTATGCATACAAGTTCCACGGTTAAACTCTCCCCCCACTACCCTACCCCCGCCTTCCCTCTGAAATGCATCCGTCTGTTCATGGTTCTGTGTCTCTGGATCTATTTTGTTCATCAGTGTATTTTGTTCATTAGATTCCACATGTGGGTGGGATCATGTGATACTTGTCTTTCTCCGACTGGCTTATTTCGCTCAGCATCACACCCTCCAGGTCCCTCCATGCTGTTGCACGTGGTAAGAGTTCCTTCTTACCATTCATAGCAGAAGAATCCTGACTTGGTATTACTGAAAAAGTTTTATCGATTAAGATTAAATGACAAAGACTTCGTTGGGCAACTCTCAATCGATCAATGCTATATCCAAAGAGCGCCCACAGATGAATCCGTGAAGAAGAAAAACTGAACATGCACATCAGCAAGTTCACGTACTAAAAACCAAACACACCGAGGTCCCCCTTCCCCTTCAGAGAATCCTTCCTTGTCACATGCAGAACAGACCTGACTGAGAGAAATTCACTAGCCTTTAAGCCCCTTAGAGGTGAAAACTGGTGAACCAGTTTAGCATACATTTCATTTTCTAGGCTTAAAAATTTTATTTTTAAACATACATGCAAAAGGAAGGGTTAGGCTGTAAGTAGCCTGCACTTACGGAAAAGTCACATCTCACCCCTACGCTGCTTGTGATAAACTCCACTAAAAGGAAGACAAACAAACCTCCCCATCCCTTCACCCAGTCAGAGGCACCGGATACATGGCTGAGGCTGCCTTACACCCGATAGAAGTCAGGGCCTCGGGCCAACCAGAACCGGTAACGTAATCAGAACAGCTACAGAAGTGAACTGTGCGCCCTGCACTCTTATTATTTTAAGAGTGTCCACTGTGCTTGTGTCCTGTGCCGAAGATCGCTGTGTTCATCGGCCACAGGGTCAGAGGACTGTAAAGGGAAAATATCAAACTGTTGTTACAAATAATCAAGGGAAGAAAAAAATCAAATGAAACAATGGACTTAATTTCAGTTTCTGACACAAAATACCGACCCTCCCAAAAAAAAAGGCAGGATTTTTTTTTCAAATGAAGATCGAGTCGGTGGATTTTAAGGAAAATACATCCATGATGTTATCTAAGTTCTGAAAAGGAATCTCGGCCCAAGGAGGCAGGAACCAAGCTGTACTTTGGTATATGGCGCCCCCCACTGGCTAGGAGTCCTCATGGCAGGTATAAAACGCAGCCCCAAAATAGGAAGATTGCAGCAGGAAGGAAGATAACTGATGATTCCAGCTCATTAGAGCACCAGGAGCTCCCAGCAGAGCAGAACCCCCACACGGCAAGAGAGGAACTTAGATGTGTTCACAAGGGTGAGCTTTATTCGTTTTGAAATTCGAGTCTACAATCTCCAAAGGCTGTCGGATTCAAATCTTATTGTCAAAACACGGGGCATATAAAAGGCCATCAGCTCTGTCGCTGAATATATAAAGGCAGTTTTTAAGCAGAAGATGCACACTCACATTTCACAGCTAGGGAAGACATTATAATATCCGCAATATGTTTCAATGTTAACAAAACCTACCATGGGGTCAGCCCCATGTCCACCTTTACCAAAGAAACAAGATACACAGAGCAAGGAATGAGTCCCCAAAACAGGACTGAAAAATACAGTTTCCCAAAAAGCCCTAGGAAAAAAAGACCATTGAGATAAACTAGTAAAAATACAGGGTGTCCCCCCAAAAATGTATACACACTTTGAATAATTATAAAGGCAGTGTTTAGTAAAATACATCCTATTTTTAAAATTGAGCTATCAGCTGTTAAAGTGTATACACATTTTTGGGGGACACCCTGTAGATGTTGTCTTAAAAGACCCACAGTACTTCCGGAGCCCCAATATAGTTCCTCTCCTCCCCTTTCCAACCTAACGTCATCCTTTATTTTCCAAATAGTTCTTGTTTACATTCCTAAATGCTAACATCCTTAAAATCTCAGCATAAAAA